GCTGGAGAAAGGAGAAGACATGGGAGAGAGGAGAGAGTTCTAGCAGGGTGGAGAAGTGAATAGAAGGACATGGAAGAGCCTGGAGTCCTCACAGGCTGAGCAGCCTAGGAGATACATGGAAGAACATGCATTTATTTCTGTGAGAGTTTCTTAAATAGTTTTCCCTGCAGCGTGCTTTCTCATCTCTTACCATTAACGTGTATGGAATAATGGCCAAATATCTCATGAAGGCTTTTCTGTATAAGTGGAGTCTTTTGAAGATACTGGAAATTGCGACTGATTTTATTTCCTGAGCTCAATTCAGGCAAAGTCAGTTTTTAGGAGGAAGCCTGACATGAAAACAGAAGAGATCCTATAGCACTGAGAATTAGTGAAAGTGTAGGGAAACTTTGGTATTTTTAAAATCTATGTAATCTGTGGGGTCCAAGCTAAGAAATCAGCATTGTACCATTGGCAGATTGCACCTGTGTGACTTGTCAACGTGGGAGCTCTTTCCACGAATATATGTGGCATGGTGACATGAAGAAGGATAGATAGAGGTCCAGAAAAGAGTGGCTGATGAAGTTCGCCATGTAGGAGTGACGTTAGTTTGAATGGAAAGTGAAGGGAGGGAAGGACTCCAGGCTCACCTGTTTTATCCTCTTCCCCGTGTTTAGGAACCCTTTAAATTGTTCATCTTTTGTGATGTAGGCCTGGAATTTTGTCTGGAGCATACATTTTCAAAATTTGCCTGCCCAGATGCAGTGTGCTTCAAATTATAGAAGTAGTTTTTTATTTTGTTTTGTTTTTAAAAATACACTTAGTGCCCTTGACTGAACTGAAGCTGGATTCTGTGCAGCCTTGATTCAGCCTCTTGGTTCCCCTGTGAGGTGTGCCTCTTTCTTGTTTTTCCACCACCTAGAAAGGAATCCGTTTTTATCATTCTCTGGTTAAACCTGAGAGGTAAATGACGTAAGGGAGCCATAGATTTAGCCCTGGTGTTAAATGAACTTTGCCCGTTCCTCTTCCACTTGACCTTGCTATGGACGCTCTCAGGAAAGAGTAGAAGAACATTATTTTTGAGAGACAGAAATTGGATAGGACATCAGTCAACATGAGGACTAGGACTTGTATCTAAACTCCCAGTCCATCTGTGTTGCAGTGGAGAAATCCCACAGTGTTTCAGGAACCCTCGAGGGCAGCGTACCTACAGGAGGAGAGTTCCACGATTCTTGTACATGGGTTAACCTCCCATATCTGGGTCTCTGGAAAAGCCTCTGTGATTGAGCTGATCAAAATCACAGGCAGAGGAGCCTGTGAAAGCCTGCACACGAAAGACATAGTTTACATACACTATTCCAGATTACAGAGTGTGGGCAGTATATTTGGCTTGATATTTGAATGAAAGGGAAGTTCTCATGTTTACATTTAATTATGATTTACTTGCTTCTGGACATTTATTTCACAGTAGTTATTATGTGTCCTTTGAAGACTGTTAGGCACCATCACCAGTGTGACCCATTTGAGATTCATGCACTTCATGTCCTCGGTGTTCCCTGCTGGATCCCTCCACTATAAGGTTAATAATTTTTCTCATTTATCTTTATGTACTTTGGGAGGATTTACTGAAAGATGTGCATAAGTCATCTTACTTAATCAGGAAACTCCTTTCTCTGTTTCACTTTGTAGTCTGCTTTGAAAATGAAGGCTCTCCTGTGTTGGCCTAAGATACCATTGTTTGAGGTAGAGATTATAAATAAATAACGGCTTGGCCCTACACATTTCCATTTTATTCACACTCATGTCACAGACATAGCATTTCTTTTCTTTTTTTTTTTTTTTTAAGATTTTATTTATTTATTTGAGAGAGAGAGAATGAGAGACAGAGAGCATGAGAGGGAGGAGGGTCAGAGGGAGAAGCAGACTCCCTGCCGAGCAGGGAGCCCGATGCGGGACTCGATCCCGGGACTCCAGGATCATGACCTGAGCCGAAGGCAGTCGCTTAACCAACTGAGCCACCCAGGCGCCCCGACATAGCATTTCTTATCACTTCTCTGTTGCTCTAGAGAAAGAAAACATGCATCATATATGTTCCACTGCCTTAAAATTGTAAAATATAACTCGGCACAAAAGCCACATGAGACCAATACATTGAATGCTATAAGAGACTCAAAAACAGTCGTTATTTTAGTCATATACTTGTGTGTTTGTCTTTGTGGTGTTTTCGCAAGACACAAAAACCTTCATCCACAAATATATTCATAAGTTTTTATCGCTGAAAGCATTTCTCAGTTTAGTGACAATAAAGAAAAACTCTATCATTTTTATTCTTTTTTATTGAATCTATAATTTTCTCTTTTATGTTTTATCCTCACTTACCTGTTTTAGTTGATATGTTCTGTGGTTTAATTGTGTTTGCATTCCCATTGTCCCTTTGAAACCTGCTGTGAACCTTCTTTTAGGGTTACTTCTGTATAGTGGTCTGTGTGTTTGTCTTAAAGTAATTCAATTTCAATCTGGGATAAAACTCAGGATATACTATTACTGAAGTTATGCCAAGATGTTTTTTGAAAGGTGAAGAACAATTCTACTGTTCTCATAGGTTAGTGTGGATTCATGGGTGAATTTATGAAAAAATGTTAGAATCTGATGTAGTGGGTAGTAAATGTTCAAAGACGAATTGTTTTGTTCTTGAAATTAGAAGTTGTAATTTCCACAATATTCTTTACGTTCAAAGTCATCCATTTCTTTTCTTTTTCTTTTTGGAATTTAAAAGTGTGGCACTTGAGCTAAGATATGGGCGTCACTTGCAAGCTCGTGAGAAATGTGGGAACTCAGATCCCACCTAGAAATCCAAATCAGATTATAAGTTTTGACAGGATCTTCACTTCATTGTCCTACACATCAACATTGGATGAGGACGGGTCTGGCTCACCTCTGCTTTTTGGTTAGCTATCCCTGTATTTATGTCTGTGGTGTATTGTGATAACCATGGCGTTGTAGTATGTTTTAAATCAGGGAGTGTGGTGCCTCCAATGTACTCTTCAGTTTGAAAATTATTTTGGGGGTGTTATACTGTGGCATCCACATGAATGTTAAGAGGGGTTTTGATCTTTTGCCAAAGAAAATGACATTGGAATTTTGATAGAGATTTTCAGTGTTACTTTTTATTCTGATCTCTGTTTTATTTATGTCTGATTTTTCTTCCTTATTTCCTTCCTCTAAATTTCATGTTTGTTTCTTCTTTTTTATGTTCCTTGTAGTATAACGTTATGTTGTTTATTTGAACTTTTTTCTTTTTTTTAAAGATTTTATTTATTTATTTGAGAGAGAGAGAATGAGAGACAGAGGGCACGAGAGGGAAGAGGGCAGAGGGAGAAGCAGACCCCCGCCGAGCAGGGAGCCCGATGCGGGACTCGATCCCGGGACTCCAGGATCATGACCTGAGCCGAAGGCAGTCGCTTAACCAACTGAGCCACCCAGGCGCCCTGAACTTTTTTTCTTAACTCAAGCATTTATAGCATTAAAAAAATTGAAAATGGAAAGTCTAGTGGGGAAAATTAGCAGAAATATACAAGTGATGACCAAACAATAAAATAGCATAAAAATAAAAATAGGCATTCTTTATGGTTTTCTATAGATCATGTCATCTGTGAACAGAGATAGTTTTCTTTTTCTTTTTGAATTGGATTCTTTTTATGTATCTTTTTCTTACCTGATTGTTCTGACTAGAATATCCAGTACTATGTTGAATGGAAGTGCTGAAGTCATTCCGTTACCTTGTTTCTGATCATACAGGAGAAGCATTCAGTCTTTTACTATTGAATATGTTAGATTTCAGCTTTCAGTACGTATGGCCTGTATTATGCTGAGGTGATTTCCTTCTATTCCTACTCTCGAGTGTTTTTAATCATGAAACTGTGTCCGATATGCTCACATTCTTGTTCTGCTTCAATTAATATGAACATGTCATGTTTGACCTTCATTCTGTTAATGCACACTCTTAAATTTAAAGATTTCCATATGTTAAAAGACCCTGAACTCCAGGAAGAATTCTCACTTGATTATGTTGTAAAATAGTAAAATGTGCTTTTGATTCAGTTTGCTTGATTTTATTGTGGACTTAGTATAAATAATTCCTCATAGTTAGTAGTTGGTAGTGTTCTTTGTTTGTAGTGTCTTCCTTTGGCTTTGATAACCTGGTAAAGCTGGTGTCTCAGAGATTGTTTGATAGTTTCCTTTCTCTTCACTCCTTGGAAATGTTGGAGGAGATTTGAAGTGCTTTCTCTTTAAATGTTTGTTTGAATTCTGCAGTGAATTTATCTGGCACAGGACTTTCTTTGTTGGGAGTTTTGTTTTGTTTTACTTTTTCAATGTGTTTAATAGTGGTAGATTATTTGATATTTGTACTTTTTTATTATTTCTCCATAATGGAGTCAGGTAGGTTATACACTTGTTGAGATTTATACAAGTTTTTTTTAATATCTGTTTGTGGACATGTAATTATCCATCATCACCTCTTATAATTGTTTTTATTTCTTTGGTATCAGTTGTATTGCATCTGCTTTCACTTCTTTACTTCTGATTTTACCTAGTCTTCTTGCTTCCATTCTTTATTTAAAAGTATATTGATTTTGTTGATCTTTTCTGAAAATGCAATCTTCCTATTGATGTTTTCCTGTTTTTGCTATCGTATTTTGTTGATTTCTATTTTAAGTTTAAATTTCCTTCCTTCTGCTAGTTTTGGGATCAAATGGCACTTTTCCTGATTTTTTGAGGTATAGGATCATGATGTGTGCTCCAGCATGACAATACTATGGAACTATGTGATAGGCTATGTGATCTGTACATTGTCTGCGAGTTTGTCTCCCTGGAGGAATGAAGTCCTGATGATTCTTTCTCAGCCATATTGCTGAAGTTCTCTGATTGATTTTAATTTTGCGTATTAGAAGCTTTCATTATATTCATCTGAGAATAGTAAGTGGAATGATTTTACTTTTCTCTTATTCAATATCTTTCAGCTGTATCTTCACATGGCACCCAGAGTTTCCTGCCAAAGCTGTGCATAGAAGCTTCTTTCCAAAACGTGGCAGTGGGTAGATATAAACATAGTGCCCTTGACAATTTACACTTAATGATAGACTGGAAAAATGATGGGGAGAGTGAAGAGCATCAAAGATATCATGGAGGACATATCCAAACTGAGACAACTGTCCATAATATGAATCTCACTGCCCAAAATGATGAAGAATATAAAACACTTGGGAAAATATCCCTTCTTAAGTCTGCTACTTCTGCAAAGCAGTGTCTTTCTGTAAGCAAGGGATCAAATCAAATGGTGAAACATACATATTTGGAGAACGAGAATTTGGAAAATCTGGAAAGTTGCCTAGTCCATGCTGAAAATAATTATTTGAACCATTTTGAAAGTAGGATTGGATTTACCTTTGAGTCAAACATTTCTGAAAATCAGAGATTTAAAAATGAAGAACAAAGTGCTAAGTGGGATTCATTTGAGAGGTCCTTCACCGAGGAGTCAACCCTACAAGATGACCAGAGCATTTTCAATGAAAATAGAATTGCTCAATGCAGTGACTCTGGGAACAAATTTAACGAGGGTTCAAATGTTAATAAATGTGTGAGGACTCATTTTCCAGAGAATCATTATGAGTGTGATAAATATGTGGAAGTCTTTTATCAAAGCTCCAACCTGATTATACATAAGAGTATCCCTATGGGAGAGAATCCTTATAAATATAATGAGTGTGGGAAATCTGTTAACCAGTCCTCCAGTGTTGGTGATTATCAGAGAATTCACATGGAAAAAAACATATACAGATGTAATAAACCTGTGAACATGTTGAGTCAATCATCAGGACTAAACATACATAACACAGCCGCTACTGGACAGAAAACTTACATTTGTGAGGAATGTGGTAAAGCCTTTGACTGGCACTCAACACCATCTCAACACCAGCCAATGCCTACTGGAGAGAAACCTTACAAATGTGAAGAATGTAGCAAGGTCTTTATCCACCACTCACACCTTATTCAACATGACAGAATTCATCCTGGAGAGAAACCTTACCAATGTGAAGAATGTGGAAAGGCCTTTAACCAGCACTCAATGCTTACTCGACATCAAAGAATTCATACTGGAGAGAAACCTTACCAATGTGAAGAATGTGGCAAGGCCTTTAACCAGCACTCAAACCTTATTCAACATCACAGAATTCATACTGGAGAGAAACCTTACCAATGTAAAGAATGTGGCCAGGCCTTTAACCATCACTCAAGCCTTACTCAACATCACAGAATTCATAGTGGTGAAAAACCTTACATATGTAAAGAATGTGGCCAGTCCTTTAACCAGCACTCAAACCTTACTCGACATCACAGAATTCATAGTGGAGAGAAACCTTATATATGTAAAGAATGTGGCCAGGCCTTTAACCAGCACTCAAAGCTTACTGAACATCTCAGAATTCATACTGGAGAGAAACCTTACATATGTAAAGAATGTGGCCAGGCCTTTAACCGGCACTCACACCTTACTCGACATCACAGAATTCACAGTGGAGAGAAACCTTACCAATGTAAAGAATGTGGTAAGGCCTTTAACCAGCAGTCAAAGCTTACCGAACATCACAGAATTCATACTGGAGAGAAACCTTATATATGTAAAGAATGTGGTCAGGCCTTTAACCGGCATTCACACCTTACTCGACATCACAGAATTCATAGTGGAGAGAAACCTTACATATGTAAAGAATGTGGTGATACCTTTATCCAGCACTCACACCTGACTCGACATCACAGAATTCATACTTGAAGGAGTCCTAACCAAAATAATGTGCCAAGGCCTTTAAGCAGTGCTAAAGTCTAACTTCTGATCAGAGGATGTATACTGGAGAAGATTTTGCAAACATAATGAATTTGGCAAGCCCTTTAATCAGAAGTCAAGCTTCATTGACCATCAGAGAATTCGTATTGGAGAAAAAAACCTTAGAAATGTAAAGAGTGTGGTAAAACTTTTAGGATTGCTCAACTCTTACTCAGCATCTCAGAGTTCATACTGAGGGGAAACATTACAAAGGTAAAAGAATGTCTCAAGCCTCTAGCTGGAACTCCCAACTTCCTGAACATCATAGTTCTCATCACAGGATGGAAACTAAAATACAGAGAAATTTGCAGTGCCTTTAACTGGAATTCAATCCTTAATATCCAAAAATTCACACTAGAGTCAAACCCTACAAATTTATGAATGAGGAAAGACCTTCATTTTAAATACACACATTAGTAAACACTCGTGAGTGCATAAAGGACAGTAACTTGAAAGATGTAAATACTTAGAAATGTATGTAACTGAACATCAAATGTCAATAAATGTCACAGAAATCAAGTACAAAGCACTACGTCAGTCAGTCTATTCAGATATTACATCAGAATACTCATGATAAGGAATAATAACAAAGTTAAACTGTTAGAAATGTCTGTCCTATTCTTCAAAAGATTAAGTGGATAGATTTTTGCATAGTTCTAATTAATTTCAGTATGTGCTTTTTTTTAACATTGGCCCTGTCTGATATTTGTGTCTAGCAAATATTAATGTATCTCTACTCTCAAGTCACTTCAGAAAATACATTTATTTTTAGTATGTGTGAAATTGTGTGACTGATTGTTGCTTCCTCAAAGATAGGAGCTCTCTCCTTCACTAGGTGGGACTCATGATATCTAATTATCCATGGAAGATAAAGGACAGTATAATATACAATATATAAAGAAAATCTAAATGAAGATATTGTTTGTGGTTATAACATTAATGATGGTTGTCATGAAAAAGGTGTTCAGAACATCAATCTCTTCCATTTATTGAAACTAAAGAACTTTCTGAATATTACAAATAAAATATTTTACCAACTGGTATTAGAGGAAAAACAGGTGGCAATCCAGTAAAATTCTGATGTATCCTCATGATAGCAATAGTTAGAGAATATTAGTGGATGTGGTTGAAAGGAAGAAATCCTCAACCATAAAGAGGGTAGCTGACTCTTCCCCAACATGGCATACATCCACATTTGTTGAGAAGGACCTCACACCTGAAAACTGTTGAAACCACTACTCCCACATCATTATATCAGTGCTTGAATGCTTTTTAATGCTTATATACTGTATTTTGAGCAAGGATTATAGAGGGGATTGAAATGCATAACTTAGTCTATGTGTGAACTTAATATATTTTAATTAATAAAACATAATGGTTTTTATCATGTTAACACGGATATGTAATGAATGAAGTGTTATCTGACTACCAATGTTAACCTATCTCATTTTATATAAGCTTGTAGGTAACTAATGGTATCTATCACCTATTTGGCAACAGAGTGGAAATATTATCTAGTAATCCGTTTTTCTCATTGGCCTTAATGTTTAGATAATGTGTGATTGTTTTTCCGTTAGTTTATCTATTGTATCATTTTCTCCTCCTTGGGACTAGTGGGATAGTATAACAGATATATTATAGATTGTATGTGGGTCTTATTGATCAACTAAGTGAAGTACTCCATGACAGTGCTACTTAGCATACATTTTGTGTAGGCAGGAGTTTTGCAGGGGACTTTAAGTGACACAAGAGAATCTTACTAGTGCATTTCCTACACAACAAACTGCAGAGTCAGAAGTTAATGTACCTCGTGATAGGGCATTCCCAGTCCACCCTTGTGAGCAAACATTTCTCCTGTCTCCCATGACTTTCCCCTTATGTGTCCTTTAGAGAAGACTCCCACCGAACTTACTTAAACCTATTTTAGTTTGAAAGGCTATCTGGACTTCTCCGGGACCCTAAAGCACTCTACCATGGCCCCTAATAAAGTTATGTGCCCCACTTCATACATGTGGGTGTAGTTTTCATGTTTCTATCTAGTAAACATACACTTATAACAATGGTTTGTGTGTAATAGATACCCCATAAGTTAGAGAAATATATTCCGGTAGGAGTGACATTGTAGCCCCAGTTAAGAGAAAGTACAGAGGATGAAGAATTGGCGTGAATTCTGCATGTGGAGAGAGGACACCTTTCCTGGGTTGCACAACTGACTCCCTGGATTTAGAAAAATAACTTACACTTTTTTATTTTCCTAGATATCTGCAGATCTCCATTTCTATTTATCCCCAGTTTTATTTCCACCTACATAGGCATCTCAAACGTTCTTCTTTGCCTGTGTTGTGGTGAGAATGTCCTCACTGACCTTTTCATTGGGATTAGAGACAAGTAAGGCCAATGGGTGTCAATTCAGACATTTAGCCCTGGCATGTGGGATGTAAATATAAGTAAAACCCAATGATGGCAGCATCTTTAGAGAGAAAGGTAAGACCTATTGAAAGAAAATGTGAAGAATTCTTTTCAGTGTGGGTAGGGAACCTAACGTGGCTCCCTTTAGTCATTCAGAAGACACAGTTACCTCTTGGTGGTGTCATCTGATGAATAAATGTAATGGAATAAAGGAATTGGCAAGTGTGGTGGGTTTCTGAGGAGTAGGGAAGTCCTATTTTATCTTCATGATTTAATTGAATTCCTGTGTGTTAGTGAGGACCAGATGCTGTTGTGATGACTCTATTTGCCCAGGTCTAGATCAGTGGCTGTGGATGGAGGAAGGGTATTCGATGATGCAGTCATTTAGTGCATAGCTTCAAAATACCACATGGTAGAGTAGATGTTGGAGATGAAGAAGCCTTCTGGACAGTGGAACAGGCAGGCTCAGCAAGGTGTGTGCTGTGGTTTCACCAAAGCGCTAGAATCCCAGGTGTATAACCCCAACACAGTTTAAATCCACTGTAGATGGGTATCGTTTCGTGGAAGCTGATGCACTGCTGTGGGGGACCTTCCTCCCTTTACCGCGTGCCATGATGAGTGTAGCTCTGTGCCATGGATTTCTTGGAGGAGTGGTACAACAGTCAGTGGCAGTGGGCATTTCTGCTTCAAACAGTCTGGTGCAAGTGTTGATTGACTGATAATAAAGAAGATGGGTATCTATATAGAATGGAATATTAGCCTTAAAAAGGAATGAAATCTTAACCGTTTGCAATGACACGGATGGAGCTAGGTTATTATGCTAACGTAAAGAAGTCAGAGAAGGACAGATACCATGTGTTTTCACGCATATGTGGAATATAAGAAACAAACAAGCAAAGGAGAAACAAAAGCAGACAGGCAAATCAAGAAATAGACTCTTAATTATAGAGAAGAAACTGATGGTTACCAGAGTGGAGATGGATTTGAGAGAGGAGTTAAAGAAGTGATGGGAATGAAGATGTGCATTTCTTGTATTGAGCACTGGGTGTTGTATGGAATTGTTCAATCACTGTTGTACACCTGAAACAAATATGACAGTGCATGTTAACTCACTATAATTTAAATAAAACCTTTTAAAAAATACTTTGGTGTTTACAGATTTAAGAAATTTTATCCCTTATGTTAACTTACGTTACACAAAATACACCTTTGTAAACAAATTGGAACGTTTATCTTTTCTCCCTGATTCCTCCAGAATTCAGAGTGTCTCAGTAACTATTTTTATATTTTTTAATGCCTGTATATATATATATTCGTATAATTTCAGTAAGAATCTGTTCTCATGATGACAAGACACAAACAAACACTTTATACAACCATGGCTTTGACTGGAATGTCATAGCTGAGAAAGAGCTGCATAGACTCAGATACAACAAGACAGCTCTAGGGAACTAAGATTGACTTCATGGATCAAATAAGGCCCCCTTGGAAATGCCAGCCTGATACCTTGCTTAGGGAGTTCCTAGCAGCCTTACCATGTGAGCAAGGAAGATTACTTACTAGCAGGCGCAGGAACCTCAGGATATTTAGGGGACTTTCATGAAGAGAGGAGTTCACTGAAATCTGTAGTTACTGTCCATAAAGTCTGGTGGCACGAAAATGGCATGGACTCTGACCTGGAGATGCTATTAAAAGTTCGATTTAGAGATTCCTCATGAAAAGTTCCTGCAAAACTGTTTTTAAAGTGTCTGTAGCTCAACCTCCGTTCTACCTGCAGTTATGTAAATAATCAGGCCAAGTGTTTTTTTCTTAGACTATTTTGTAATCAAATTAGTGTTAATTTGACTATCTTTGGTAAAAATTTGTTTCAGTAACATTTTGTAGATACTAGATTTTAATAGTATTCAGTATTAACTGGACTACATCCTGATTTCTTCTAATGTCGACCAATGCATGGCTACAAGTCCCCAGACATTTTGAGTTTTCTCTCACCTTCCTACTTGGAATCATTTGAGAACTAAAATTTTTTTTTTTTTTAAAGATTTTATTTATTTATTTGACAGAGAGAGACATAGCGAGAGCAGGAATACAAGCAGGGGGAGTGGGAGAGGGAGAAGCAGGCTTCCCGCAGAGCAGGGAGCCCGATGTGGGGCTCGATCCCACGACCGGAGCCGAAGGCAGACGCTTAACGACTGAGCCACCCAGGCGCCCCGAGAACTAAAATTGACATTTTTCCTGAAGCTCTGCAAACTTAATATGAATGACTTGTAAAGAAATTGTCATAATAGCTCATGTATAGACAGTCTTAGTACTGTGGCTCTGTGGACCACTGAAATACTACCAACGTAGTATTTAAACTATAAACCAGGACAAAATGTTAGGTTTCCCCTGCCTGCCCTCACTCTATCTTAAGATGCTTGAAATCTAACATATAGAAGTCTGCTCAGCTGGCTACCCTCAGAAATCAGAACCTGCCTTAACATTTGATCTAATCATTAATCATAGTTCATTTGTTTTCATATAAATGCCTCATTTAATCACAGTACTTAAGCTACAGGGCTACCTTTGAAAATACACCTGTATCATTGCCTTCTGAAACGAGTTTGACCAAACTGCCCTATTGGCAGGGTAAAATGCTAGATCAGGGACATGAAGTAATCTACCAGATCAACATGTAATACTTGAAACTCCCAAGGAAGTTTTAGATGGGGGAACTGAAGGAGCAGGACAAGCCTCTCTCTCCACCCACTGCCCCCTGCAAAATGCCCCTTTGGATAATTGAAGTTGAAGGTACTTGAGAACCTGCAGGTTCCAGAGGACATTCTACCCCTCCCCTGCCATTAACAACCCAGAAGAATCTAAATTGGGGGGGGGGGTCTTTCCAGAACATGAGAGATTAACATGAAAAAGTTTATCTCTGAACCATCTTTAAGGTAAGACAAATACCTAAATACCAAAGATGTGCTCTTATTGCCCTGTGAAGTGTTTTCCTTTCCTGTGAAGCTCCTGACCCCCACCCCTTCTTTCCTTATTTCAGGATGACATTTGTACCTCCACTTCCCTGACAGTCTGGAACTTCCACTTCTGTGTGGATTTCCTGTACATATACC